GGGCGGGTCGCCCCTGTTCGGGCGGTATGCCACCGAGCACAGAAGCTCCCTCGCCGCCACCGTGAGGTGGAAGACCGGCGCTGGCAAGGGTACAGGGCGCGACGCGTACCGAGACGGATTGTGGAAACGCAGCCGAACGACCTTGGCATCCGCCGCCTCCTCCAGCGAGGTGAATGGCCAAGTCACCCCGAGGAGGAGCACCCCGCGGAGCTGGTCGATCAGCTGGCTCCTTATCAACCCACCAGCACCAAGCTTCACAGGCCTGCACCCTTACCCTACTGAAGGTCTCGAAGCGATGGAATAAGATGGGGGTGGCCTGGCCGGTCTGGTGCACCGGTACACTCAGGCCAGCCCGCTGGAGGTGGCGCCGCTGCTGGTCTCCAGGAGGTGCAGCATGTTAACGTTGTCGTTACCATGTTCAGCCAATGCGAGGTCTCATAGCGCCTGATGAGTAGGCAACATCCCGCCTACAGTGCATACATGTACTGCGGGGTGGCCTACCCCAAATATCGCGCAGGCGCCGAGCTCCCGTTATGTCGAGGGGGAAATCACTTGCGAAATAGTTCGTACACCTTTCCCCGAAATAGTCCGAAATACAGACGAAATAAAGGCGAAATAAAGGAGAAATAGAGCAAAATAGACGCGAGATATAGTCGCGAAATACCCCTGAAATACTCCGAAATACCGCGAAATACCCTGAAATAATCCGAAGTAGGCGAGAAATGACCGAAACGGCAAGAGAAATAACCGAAATGGCAGGAGAAATACCACGAAATAGCCCGTACGCTAAGAACCAGAGTGATTTCCCCCTCGCGTTATGTGCCGTCTGATTATGAGAGAAACAGACGTACTTTCTGGACGAGCCCTTATACACGCGTCAGTGAGAGCGACAGTCGATGTGCGACACCCTTTGGCCGGTGCCCTGCCCGCCTTAAAGGCGGAGATGAGTTCCGAGCTCTCAGGGTGAGGCCACCCGCGACGCCTACGCGGACCTGGAGGACTTCCTCGTCGAGCTGGTCAAAGCTCTGGCCGGTGTGCTCGGGGTGGCACCACCCGTGCCACACTGCTGGAGGACTTCCTCGTTGAGATGGTCTAGGTTCTGGCAAGGGTGGTTCGGGTGGCACTGCCCTCTCGACTCTCTCCTGCGGGCCCCCCGGTCCGCGTCGCGTCGAAGGCTGCTGCTCGTCGCGACGCCGTCGAACATCGCGGCGAGACGTGTCCGCGCCGGCAGCCCGCGGGCTCCACGACCGCCACTATTTTGATGACCCGATGGTCGGATGAACATTACTTCTACCGTCACCGTGACCTCGCGCTTTGTTCTCCTCGCCACCACCTGCGGGAAGAGACGACGGCCTGGTGCGCCCGGGAAGAGGGAGGGAGCTCGTTGTCGACGCCGGGGATACTAGGTGGCTGATTCACGCCGCGCACTTTTGTACTGTGCAACCCGCCCGCACGGCACCATCCGGGACTGCATACCCACCATGCGCAGGGGACTGGCTCCAAGCACCAACGCGTCGCTCCACCACTGATGTTGCAGCCAACGCCCAGGGGCGTTACAAAGGGCTTGTTCGCTGTTTCGTGCGGGTTTCCGCGAGTCCGCGAGGGTAACTCGCGGGTCCGCGGGCGTAGCTCACAGCTTCAGGCAGCCGTCTGATTCAGATCGTTCGGGGCTGGCGTACTCGAGAGCGTAAAGCGTAAGCGTAAAGCGCACCGCTTTGGCGTAAAAGAGCGGAGTGGGGGTACGCACCCTAACCTCATCTTGGCTCTCGCATATGACCGCTTAAGTGAATATAGCAAAACTCTTGAACGATCTCCTGAATCGCACGGCAGTCTCGTATATTTGTCTTACTATGGCTATCGTATTGCCATTGCTATCGTATTGTCATTGCTATCGTATTGCCATTGCCGTTGCTATCGTGTTCCCTAGATGTCTATCTAACGCTAATGAAGGGATGTATCATTATAGTAAACTTAAGGCTAATTTCAATAA